CATCCATCCATCCATCCATCCATCCATCCATCCATCCATCCATCCATTAGCATGATCACAAATCAACAATCAGTGCATTGCTTCATTTAATTTCATTTATTTATGTATTTAAATTAAGACAATGCATATTAATCAACATGTTAGCAGTAAGCATCAATGTAAATATGCCAGAGGTAGCACAACAGCTAATTTTAATTTGTTGTCCTAAGGCAAGTAAGAACAAGAAACATCCCACAAAACAAAGAGCAGAGATAATACAAACATCACCTATATAACACATAACACAACATGAAATTACAATAAAGTTATGATGCCATAACAAAATCGACAAAGTAATCTCCATATGATTGCACCTCTGCTTACTTTTCAGCCAATGTTTCAAATAATTTTTAAAGCTGGTGCCACAGTTTCTGATATAAACTGGCAGTGAGTCTCACGGCTTCGAGCATCTGATGGACACCATTTGGCTAAATTTTGTCCTGCACCACTGAACATTACAATCTCCTCTGGTCAATGCTCTTGTGTTTACTGTACTACTTGTTTTTTGACTTATAAAATACATTAAAGGAGAATGAGCAAGTAAATTTAAAACTTTAAATATAAGACAAGCATCCATAAAAATATGATAGTTATCAAAATCTAAAATGTACTTATGATGTTACAATAATGGTACTGTAAAAAGCATTTTGTCAAAGATTCAGTGTTTTCTTAAAATGAGACTTTAGGAGCTTCAAAATGGCCTCTGAAGTGTGAGACCATGTAGTATAACAATAAGCTATATGGCTGAATATCATGGCATGCATGTAAGCCTTTGCTGATTCTTTTGTCAGAGAATGTCTTATAGGGTATGTTTAAAGTTTGACAGATTAAGTTTAATTATAAGTGAAATTTTCTTTACATGCTGTCTGAAATTTAGATTACAATCAGAAATTACTCCAAGGTATTCAAATTGTTCATCCACATCTAATGCCTCTCCGCTGACTAACACATTTGGTTTTAATTAGTTGAAAAAAAACTGTTAAAATTATATTTCTATAAATTCATAAAGAGAAATGTAATAATAAATCAATGAAATGAAATATATTTATTTCTTGTTCTGCTGTCCTCAAATCTCTCAAGCAGTGGAGGAAAAGAGCAGCTGGTTTAATCCTATTTTTTAAGATGATTCCGCACCTTCAGCACCTGATATAAAAGACCCAGTCAGTCTCTGTGTTAATAAAATAACTCATCCATCTCTTGAGCTTTATTCAGACTTTTGTGATGCTAGACAGGCTCTCTTGTAAGACTTAAATACAGGTTTAATGTCTGAAAAGTAGTTTCCTGTCTCTCTTAATTTGTTTTCACATGGGAGGAGTTTGTAAAAATTGTCTGACGAAACTCCCTTAGGGCATTATCGTTAATGGAAACTCTAATCGGTCTGTTTTGACCTTGCAGCCAACCATTGGAATCTGTGTGTGGGGGATTTTCAGGAAATAAGAGACAACCCTAATACTTTGATAGAATAGCAATATTTTCTGGGACCTTGAACACATCTTAGTGCCTTTAATTTTACTGCATACCTTTTTTCCACCTTGTATATACTCAGCTGGGTTGAGTCTGCTGAACACAAACAATTGTTATTCTGCTTATTTCTATGGTTTTCTGTGACAACAAATTTTTTTATTCTGTTGCACAAGTGGGTGAACGTATTGCTGAATTGTGAGAGGCCAGGACCATCAGAGGATTGAGGGGGCTAAAAAAAAAATCTAGTGATTTGTCCTGCAAAAATCTGTAATTCTCCCACACGTCTGGTTTTATCATTTCTAAGGCACACATGTGCAAAATAAGACAAGGTTTGTTCTGCCCATTTTTACAGTATTCACATGAGAACTAGCTTTACTTCTCTTAAGCAGAAATTAATATCAAGTTTTTAGGGTTAAAAGTTGAGCTGATAAAGACTGAAGAGCAAAATGTTGCAAAAAATGTCCAAATATTGAACATTTTAACAAAAAGTTGGTCTAAATTATCTGCTAAAGCTGTTTATTCACACTCAGGTATAAGCTCATATTCTGACAACTACGTTCAGTTTGTTAAAAACTGGGGGAAAAAAGACCCAGAAAGTGCCTTTAAATGTGTGGGTGCGTTTACTCACCCATGTGCAGCATCAGCTTCAGCTGCTCTGTTAACAGCTCGGAGTCGGGGCTCTGCACGGTGATGGAGAAGGGCTGGCCCCGGCGCACGATCAGGCGCTCCCGATCGATGTCTAGGGTGCGGTGAGCCACGTTGTTCTCATGACTTCTCAGGTCCACGTTGACAATGAAACCTGATGAGAAACAGGCAGAGCTGAAACTGAATCACAAGGTCATTGTGTTGAATGGTTCTTCTTAAAACAAATGTTTTTTCAAACATACAAATAAATCTACTGAACCTAAATAATAAAAACATGAGGTTCACTGTTGCAAGTTGCAGATTAGACCTCTGCAAAGACAAATCCAAGATGTTTTGCACCCAGATGTCGTTCTTTTCTCCTTTTTCCAGGAGAAAAGAGTCGTGTGAAACTCTGTTCAGCACAGATTGCTGATTTTTGTTATCTGTCCTATTTTCTGGATAAATTTTAAAGCTACTCTTTTCAAAATATGACATCTAACATAAAGTTTATCCTGAACTTTATAAACGATAATATATTTATATAAAATTCTTAAAGATGATGATGACCGTTAAACCGGCACCTGAGCCCCAATCACCCTACCTACTTTCTTCACAGTCAGTTTGGTTGAAGACAGAATCAAACTCGAGTTCAGTTCAGCCCAAACAGGAATCTGAGCGAGATCATTTATTTAGCTGATGTTCATCAGAGTCAACTCTTACAGCTCCTCCTGGTTGTGTTGCAGGAACAGGGCTGGGTTCTTCACACCAAAACGTTGACTCATAAATCAGCCCATCTTCCATTTTTAGGCCCCTCAGAGACGAAGAATATTTGTGAAAACACAGAGATGGTCACTTACTCTCTCGTTCAGCCATTGCAGGAGTTTTGACTCTGAGTTGCTCCAAGTGTCCTCATGTGTCCAAGTTTCTGAGTATTTATACAGAAGAAGAAGAAGAGTGACCCCCCTCCCTTCACTTCAGTCTCAGACTCACGTCCTCACCTCCCTCTTTGACCTCAGACATCACTTCAAAAGAAGCTGCTCTCCTCTCTGGGTGGGTGTGCATTTACTGAAACTGTTCTCTCCCTGATGAGACACTCATTGGGTGGTGGTGGGGGTGGGGGGGGTTTGATGCTGTAACTCTAAATAAAATAAGTCAAATTTTAAATGGTCTGCTTTGACATTCCCTCTTATCAGACAGACAGGTGTTCAGGGGCCAAAAAGAATGTGAGCCAATTCATCTGATGGTTATTTTTCATACCTGAGAGAACGACAGGTTCTGCTAAACAATCCAAAAACACACCATGACCCAGACTGTCAGAAGGCTCAGGTGCATTTCAACTTTTACAAGAAGTTCATGAGGAGAAAGTTGCAGATGTGCATGTGGAATAAACAGGAAAATGTTGATAACTTGGTCAAATATCTCAAAAAAGAAGTTGCTGTAAGAGTTTGTAAGAGAAAGGACATTCAGTGAGTTTTACACTAAGACCATGTTTTATTGATAAAGAACAAAACTGTAACTATTTGGATCAAAACAAACAAAAAACAACAATATTCTGCACAACCTGCTTGTGCTCAGAGTAAGTGTTGGGGATCAGTCTTCTACCATAATTTGAACTCAGTGCCTGTAAAAGTGACTGGATTATAGCTATTTATGTGTTTTATAAAGTCATTTAGCTGTAGCAGCCATCTTAAAATGTGCTGATTTAAAAAGTCAATCAGTTGTACATAGATGTGCATAAACTGATTATTTCCTGACAAGTTCAATGAAATCTGTCCAGTATTTCAAAACATATTTTACTAACAGACACACAAACATACACAAATCTTTAACCTTATTTTCTTTAATGAAATAACAAGATTATTTTATTGATAGTTCCTGGATATTTTTTAACCATTTATAACAAATGTAACTCTCTTTACAGGTGGTTAATGTTTCTCTATTTGAGGATTTTTTGACCCTCTATGAAGAAACAGAAGGAATTCACTGTAACACTCATGATATGCACATATTTGGTCAAATGCCATAAAGTCAGAAGTAACCAGGATGTTTTGTCAGTGCTAGGTCAAAGAGATTTAAAGGTTTCAAAAAGTATCAAAGTTTCTGCTCAGTAATCCAGCTAAAAATCCAACAAAGTTCAGTCAGGTCATCTGGACAGTTTATTTTTATTTTTTGTAGAGACATTTTGCCCTTCATCCAAAGTACTTCATCAGTCCAGGGAGCCACAACAAATTTAGTCCCACAAGCAGCACACTCACATAGCAGACCAACCCGTTTGCTGGTGATAAGATGGTTTCTGTGGCCCACCCTTCCCCCATCGACTCCTCTCAGGCGTTCATAGACAAAGTGGTTCAAAACATCAAAGTTCATGCTCAATAATCCAGGTTAAAAAATCCAACAAAGTTCAG